TAAAGAAATAAATTATGCTTTAAAGGAATTTAAAAAAAATATGAGAAGCAATCATCTTGAATTAAACAAAAATATAGACCCCATTAAATTATGTTATTGTAAACAGATGCATCCTAATTATAATAAAGGCAAAAATATAAGATCCCATTAAATTGTTAATGTAAACAGATGCATCCTTATTATAAAAAATGCCATTCAAAATATAAGACCCCATTATGTTATTGTAAACAGATGCATCCTAATTATAAAAAAGGCCATTAAAAATATAAGACCCCATTAAATTATTGCAAACAGATGCATTTTAATATGATACATTTCTAATTATAAACAAGATGAAAAGGGCCATTAAAAATATAATTCACCAGTATATAACTATTAACAATCCTAACAAATACCTTAGATTTATCATTTACTATAAATAATTTCATCTAATCTATTTATTACCAAAATCTCAGGACTTCAAAAATCCAGCCTATGTAAAAATAATGTTGTTTATGAATTGTAATGTCCTTCTGGAGGTTGCAGCTCCCAAACTCATAATCAACAAACAACATTAAATTCTTACATTGGCCGTGCATGCACCACACTCTCTTGTAGGTTGATTTGTCACTTGTAGATATCAATCAGTATATAACAATCAACCAAAATACTATTAACATAAGACAAATTTTAATAGATAACACCAAAATATTATATAGGACACATTGCAAAGAAAGACTCAAAATTGAAAAACCATTACAATCCAAAAGAAACAACCAACAATAAATAAAAGATCTTTCTCCATAAAAGATCAAATATTAAAGTGTGTATATAAAAAAAAAAAATGAGAACACATATAATTGTTTGACACATGCTTTCCCATTTGATTAATGTAGATGATATTGGCTGGGTCACTGTGGAGAGGGGGTATGTTGTTGAAAGACCTAAAACCCCTAATGAACCTCGACTAAAAATATCACTGATGATGTGTACTAAAGCATCCAATAGATGTATTTTTTGAAATGTTACTTTTAACTGACTTAAATTCTAATTCTCTCACTCTAAAAATACCAGAATTTCATTAAATACATCTTGCTTAAGATACCACTCCTAAATCTTGACAATGACTCTGATAATTGAACGTACGTGGAGAAAAAAAAAAAAATTAAACAGCTTATTCATAAGTTTAATTCCAATGTACAATCACCAAAGTTAAGCAACATCAAGCCTGGTCAATATATAGATGGGTAACTGCTTGAGAATACCAGATGCTGTAAGCTTGTATTTGTGTGTAGTATAATGGATAATTGTAGTCAGTTTCTTCTGGCTTGAAAAAAATTTTCAGAATCTGCTTCCTTCTACCAAGAGAATACCAGAATGAACTTAGGTCAAACACTCCAATAATGTGTGTCTCTTGTTCAATATGTAGTAACACTTCTCCCTGTTGCCTCTTTAAGCACTTTTTATAGACTGAGCGACAGTTAAAATTTACATATGTTAAGAGATTCTCATGAAAGTCTCTCCAAGTCTGAGATCTATCTGTATTAAATGTATGCCTCATGAAGCTGCCATTTTCTTTTTGGGAATATTTTATATGCGAGACGCATCTGAATCCATTTTCGTCCCAAAGCTAGGCCAATTTCACTAGTTGAAAATGTCTCGAAATTGTTAATCAGAGAGCCAAGTTCCAATTTCTGTTGGGTTCATTATATTCACTTACATGAAAATATCTTTGGGAAAAGTATGAATCCACATCTTCCCCCAGCTATGGGTTAATTAGTAAGACTTTTATCACTAAACCATTAAATAAAAATAAAATAATATTGTATACAAAAATATATAGATTTTGACATTAAATAATCCATGGAGGTTGATATAGTGCTAAACAACCAATAAAATTGAAAAGACCGACCTTGATTGATTGGGTAGTTGTTTTTGTAAGAGTAAAGGAACCGATTAATTAAACAGTTCATTTTGCTCAGGAACTAATTTTGTCTAAATGCAGATATTTTATTTGTATAGATTATTAAAACAACTAAGGGAAGTAATCACACATAAATATCCTAACTTAAGTTGGTTTACCTCCCTTCCCACTACAGATATGACAATATATACATTGATAATTATAATATGGTTTGATACACACACACACACACACACACACACACACACACACACATATATTAAGACATTTTTATGTTTATACATTCTTTTTATAGAAACATAAAAATGTCTTTAAATAATTGTCAGACTTTGTCCATTTCATAATATATATATATATATATGATAGTTTTAAGGTATGCTATATTTCTGGATAAAGTGCTTAATATCAGAGATACAGTGTTTTTGTCTATTTTATATATATATATATATATATATATATATATATATATATATATATAGTGAACATAGAAGTCAACACTTACAGTCTGTTTCATGTAATATAATCGCCAGGCCACATGTGGCCTGACGATTGCATATAGCATGAAACGGACTGTCGCCTCTAAGTGTTGACTTCTATGTTCACTTTTATATTTACACACTCTATCTCTGATATTGAGCACTTTATTCCATAAATATAGCATACCTTAAGACTATATTTCTTTATCTATGTATATATATTCAGTACCTCACTAAAAAAGAGCATACCCTGATGAAAAAGGGCCCCAAACTTTATAAGCAATTTTTTTTATCATTAAAATGTTTGTTATTATTAAGAGAAAAGACCAAAGTACTTTGATGATTTTTAAAAAAAAAATTTTTATCCTTCATGGCACATCCAAAATTTTACTTAAAAATCTTGAGTTTTTTTTTTTTTTTTTTGAGTCAGCAGAATTTACATAAAATTGGTCATGTCCGCTGTTTTTGACAGTTTTGGAAACAAAACTGAAATTCTCTGTTTAAAAATCTTGTAAAATTCAATTATACTTTTTTCAAAAGTTATTTTAGGAAAATTAGAATATTTAAAGTTTACTTAATGTAATTGGAAACAAACGTTACTTAATTTTTTGGTTGAAAAAATTTAGTTGGAAATAAGAGAAGCATGTCTAACCCTCGTGATTGATTTTAGAGGTGTTAATTAATGTTTATGTCAATGTATCGACAACTAACATCAGGGCAATTTATCAGATGGAAGGACAGAAGTGACAGTATTTTTGAATTTTAAGTGAACCAGCTTATTTAACTATAAATTAATTCTTAAAAATTAAATACTTTCAAAAGTCCAATATTTTAATTTTATTAATTTTTTTTTTTTTTTTTTTTATTAGGTACTTTTTTGTAACAAAGATATGTGCAAAGCCTGCATGGTTTCCATCCCTAAAATTGAATCTAAAAAAGAAAATATTAATAATTTTAGTATGTCGCTCACTGAAAAAGGAAAAATTGTTTATATTTTAAAAAAATGAAAAGAAAATATTTAGTGAAATATATAAAAAGAAAGAAAATTAAAAATTTTGAAAATGTGACAATGATGATGGTCGGTCAGTCAGAGAATTTGACATGTGTTAGCCAGAATGAAATCAATGCAGTTTATGAGGATGGATCCTTGCTATCAGGAGAAACAACTCTTAAAATACGTGACATTATTTCTAAATTGTGCCTCTGTAGTTTTGCCAGAAATGTTTTTCATACATTTTTTGGCATATTAAAAAAATATTTTAAAAATACAAATGTTTTGCAGATTGTAATAAGCTTTCAAATTTAAGCTCTGTAAAAATAGATTTTTTAATAAGAGCATTTCCAAATTTAATTTTAAAATATTTAATAACTTTATCACATTTTGTATTTAAAATTGAAAAAAAAAAAAAAGAAACACCTTTTGTCCTTCTTGACTCACTCAATTGCAGCCCAATCAACAATCTGAACTCTACAAAGTGGTTTCTATCAGAAAACCTTTTAACATTCAATAATCAAAAAAACCTTTTAACATTCAATAATCTCTGTAAAGATCTATTACTACCTCCAATATGGATATTCTTCTCAATAACTTTTTCTGTTTTTCAGTATTTGTTAGATCCTTCAGTATCTGTCTATATTTCTGAGATGTACACTATTTACAGTATTTGGACTATTGCCCTCATCTTTGTCACCATATTTATCACAATGTTTCGGTCTTCTTCAGGTGGTTGGAATGTCGAACTGAACCCTTTATTTCGTTCACTTGGGTAGACTGTTCTCATTCCACGTGCCATGTTTAATGGATGTCAGTTATCTCCTGTTAATTCCCTCTCCAAGTTCTCCACTGCCTTAACCGGGTATTGAACTCACACTCTTTGGGTCCTGTCACTGGATCTAACTAACACCTTTATCCACTGTGCCTTGAGGACATTTGTGTATGAATTTCTGGGGATTATAAACCTAATGTCTTCAGTAATTATTTTTTACCAGTGCTCATATTGCAATTTTTGCTGTTATCATTGCATGTTTTTACTCGAGCTCATATTGCAATTTTTGTTGCTATTATCACTTCTCTCTGGCACTTCTTATAACTGATTCCCATATTGTATTCATTTCTATGCTTGGTCAGCTCAGGAGATTTTTGTGGCCTAACATACCAACCACTTGAAGAAGGCCGGAGCGTACAACAGCCAAAATGTTGTAATAATTATGGCAATAAAGATGAGGACAATAGTCCAAATAATGTAAATTGTTAGATCCTGCCTGTAATGTTGAAACATGGGTGGTGGGGAAATGGCTGAGTTCATCCTGTATTGATACAATGCTGAAAGCCAGAAATTTTGAATAGTATTATAGAAAAAGATTTGTCTTGAATGCAAACCAAAGACTACAGACATGTTAGAGACTTAATTAATAATTTCAAGTCTGGAGACATGACAGAATGTTGAATCTCATGTTTTCAAGATAACACAGTGAAATAAATAAGGAAGACAAAATCATTGGTAAGTAATAAAAATAGAAGGTTTACTACATGAAGGTACACTTAGCAATTGATCTAATGCTAACTCAGTTCAACTCCACTTATTTACATAAATGGAAAATTCCATTCATTTGTGTCCTATATGACATATCTATCTATCTATCTATCTATCTATCTATCTCAGTCTCTTGCTTATCTATCATTGTATCTCGTGTTTCAAGATAACAGAGAGAAATAAATAAGGAAGACAAACACATAGGTAAGTAATGAAATAGAAGGTTTATTATACAAAGGTACAATTAGTAATTGACCTAATGCTAACCCTGCTTATTTACATAAACAGACAATTTCATTCATTTATGTCCTATATGACAAAACAAGGCAGTAAATCTGAATTATAGAAATAAAAACTAATTATATTTGAAATTGATATGATATTTTATACTGACATCTTTTGTTATTGTTGTGTTCTTTCAGATCAATTTGGAAGACGATGCTACCAGTGGGGATCTTGGTTTAGGTGAAAACAACCACCATCAGCTGAGTATGCGTATCAACTTACCTGGTTCACATGGTGACAGAGTATAATCAGCACTTCATTTATGATGTTGTTAATTAGCAACACCTTATGTTCCTTCCCCAATCTTCTCACCTTCCTTTTGTAATTTTCTCTTCTTGCTCAAAGGGAGAAAGAAAACGAACTTCATCTTGATTCTTGTGTGGTATACTGATTATAAAAAAAAAAAAAAAAAAAAAATGAAGGAACGGTGGGAACAAACTTTCTAGATTAATTTAAATGATAAAAGAAAAAAATTCTTTTTTTTCTTTTTTGTTTTTTTTTTTATTTTTTATTTTTTTTAAAAACCCACAGAAGTTGATGTTTCAGTGTTGACATATGGCAAAAAGTGTTTCATTTTTTTTTTTCCTATTATTTTTTTAAGCATTTATAAGCTTTTCAATATCTTAAACTAATAACAAATAACCAAGCATAAAGTCAGTCAACTGCAGCATCAAAAATGAAATAATCAAAAATGTTATTTGATAACAGAATAAAATTTTAATTAAAACAGTAATGTAACAATATCTGTCTATATTTCTGAGATGAGATATTATATACATTATTTACATTATTCAGAGCATTGTCCTCATCTTTGTCACCATATTTATTAAAACATTTCGGCCGTTGTATGTTCCAACCTTCTTCAGGTGGTTGGAATGTTGAACTGAACCCTTTATTTTGCTCACTGGGATAGACTGTTCTAGTTTCACGTGCCATGTTTAATGGATGTCAGTTATCAGTTATCTCCTATTAATTTCCCTCTGAAAGTTCTCCACTGCCTTAACCAGGTATTGAACTCACACTCCTTTGGATCCTGTCACTGGATCTAACTAACACCTTTATCAAGGACACATGGCACAGTGGATAAAGGTGTTAGTTAGATCCAGTGACAGCACTCAAAGAGTGTGAATTCAATACCCGGTTAAGGCAGTGGAGAACTTTCAGAGGGAAATTAACAGGAGATAACTGATAACTGACATCCATTAAAAACATAGCACATGGAACTAGAACAGTCTATCCCAGTGAGCAAAATAAAGGGTTCAGTTCAACATTCCAACCACCTGAAGAAGGCTGGAGTGTACAACGACCGAAACGTTGTAATGAATATGGCAACAAAGATGAGGACAATAGTCCGAATAATGTAAATAAGTAATGTAACAATTCAATTTTTTGAAGTTAGGTTAAATTAAAATCTAATCTGTTTTTTATTTTTTATTCATTTTTTATCCATGTAGACACTAATAATTATTATTACGATTAAACACTAATCAAGTTTCAATTAATAGTAGAATTAAGTTAAAAAATTTTACAAATACTTAGAAAATTTCAACACATTCATTCACAGAACTGATACTATAAAATAGTTTGTTCAGATAGGTTTTAAATTTTTGTTGTTAATTTTCACTTTTGTCTTTATGATTATTTAATGCAATTATTTTCTAATTTCAATTTTTCAATTTTTTATTTTTTAAATTTTTTTGTAATATGCTAACATTGGAAACATGACCAACAAGGATGATTTATTTTGTCATAAAAATAACAAACAAACAAAAAAAAAAAAAGAAATGAAAAAACTTAAACATGACTCGCAATGTGAGTGGAAGATGAAAATAGATTTTTTTTCACCCCATTACTTAAAATTAATAACGTTTAAATGTTATCATTTTGCAAATAAAAAACTCCATCTATCCAAAATGCTACCGAGGTAACTTTAGTCATTCAATGATTTCCTTAAAGAAATTAAAAATGCAGTTCCCTATTTACTAGTGAAGTAATTTTGGAAGATGAGTGAAATATTTAGGAAGATGAGAAAAGACAGTGAATAGACAAAAAACTGGAATTCAACAAACTTTTGGGTTGTACTGTGTGACTATGTCATGTCTATATGAAATGGATTTTTTAATCCAACATTTATTTATTACTATAAATCTTATTTTTAGTGGGTACGCATGTTTTGAGTTGAAATTTCTATTTTTTATTATCTTAAACAGTGAAATTAATAACAAACTGTCTAGATTGAGAAGTCTTAGAAAAAAAAATTCTCAACAGGAATTGAAGCTATATTCCTCTTTCCATCAGGGAAACTGCTTTTATAGTCAAAACCTGCCACCTGCAATTTGGCCACATGGACCATCGTAATAGAGCAAGGTTTGAATGACCTATTGTTATTAATTTCACTGTTTAATAACAGAAAAAACAGAGATAGCAAATTAAACATGTGTACCTGCTGGAAATAACATTTATAGTAATAAGAAATGTACAGGATGGTTGGAAAGATTTAAAATTGTTAATAACTTTAGGAATTATTCATTGATTTTCATAAAATATGTTTTATTTTGAAAAGTATAATAGTAGAAGTACAGTACTGTGTTAAAATTCTACCTTTTGCACATTTTCTTCCTATCTGGATGTTGAAGGACGACTGTTTCTGTACTCATCAATTTGGAATGATAATTTCTGACTGTTTTGGCATGATGTCTATGAACACTACACCACCATCACTGCATTTTGTATCATGGACTGTCACACTTTATAGCGGAGTGCTAACTGAGGATACAAATGCAGTGTTGGGTGGTGTGCCATTCTAGGCTACCCTGGTCACTGAAATAAAAACGGAAATTAGCAATGAAATTCTAACATTTTCGGGGTCGATCAAAATATATTTTGTTTTACGTCAAATTTGATATTAACAAAAGTTATAATTAATTTCCAATAGGGAATTTCTTTCCACCCACCATATATATATATATATATATATATATATATATATATATATTGTCTTAATAACTTTTAAATAGTTTTCATTAATACCTCGTTCCAGAGTGATTATTTATATGCAGGGTGGATGGAAAGAAGCTCTCTATTAAAAATTGTGAATAAGTTTATTAATGTTTTATTTTGAACAGTACAATGATGGAAGTATAGTACAGTGTTAAAATTCTACCTTTTGTGCAATTTCTTCCGGTCTTGATGTTGAAGTATGACCATTTCTGTGGGTATCTGCCACAGATCCTGTACCCATCAGATTGGAATGACAATTTCTGATCGTTTTAGCATCTATTTAAGCATGAGGTCTATGAACACTGTGCCACCATTTCTGCACTTGTATCACAGACTGCTACACTTTGCTTTAGAATGGCAGCTGTGCATACTCATGCAGTGTCAGGTTTAGTACCATTCTGGCTTACACTTGTCACTCTGAAATAAAAACGCAATGAAATTCTACCACTTTAGGAATCACAATATATTTTGTTTCATGCAAATGTTGTGATATTAACAAAAGTTATAATTAATTTTCAATCAGGAGTTTCTTTCCACCCACCCTGTATATAATGTTTGCATGTGCGTCACAGGTACACTCTTGCCCAAAAGATATTTTTAAAAAGTTGTCTGTAATGAATTGTCATGGCTAAAGTCATTAATCGTTAGCAACAATACTTTTGGTAATATGAAACTTTTAGATTAGTGACTTCCTCAACTCAAAGTATAATTAAAAAAACATGACTAAATATTTTGTTTATCATTCAGATTACTACACTTTAGAAATTAGCAATAATAATAATAATAATAATAATAATAATAGTACTATAATAAACCTTATTAAGATTGGCAAGTTATATTGCTATTCTTTGGTCTTTCTTGGCATATTCTGCAATTGCTAGACAGTGCTGCTGAAACTGAATTAATTTTTATATAAGTCTCAAAGCCAATTGGGACTTGGTGCTAGGAGACCTGACTTTCTGAAATTTAACTGACACTTTCATCTTCCTTCACGTAAAAAAAAAATCAAGTGGCCATATAAATAAATATATATATAAAAAAAAAAAAAAAAAACAGCAGTAGAATCACCTAACTCAGTCTCTGGTTTCTTTTTTTCTCTCTTTGGTTGCTCACTCTCTCTCTCATATCACAATCCAATTATTTTTCTACATGTTGTCTTTGGTTGTCTCCCTTCCTTTTCTACCATATTTTTCTGTTCCTGCTACCCATTTTCTATAATCATATTGCTCTCTCTACAATCTTGTCTTTCTTCTCATCACATTTTTGCTCCCAAGCACTCTGTGCAAACTTCCGCCCATCACTATTTCTCAATCTCCCCTTCCTCTTTGCTTCCCACTTTCTTCCTCCCACTCTTTCTTATGCACTACTTTGCTCTTCCCTTTTCCTCTCCTCCTCTTCTTTACTTGCCACTTTTTTCCTCCTACTTTTCTTTGCTTCCCACTTTCTTCGTCTCTTCTTTGCTCTCCATGTTCTACCTCTTGCACTTCTTTGCTCTCCCATTTTCCCTCTCGCTCTTCTTTGCTTCCCACTTTTTTCCTCTCACTTTTCTTTGCTCCTCGCTCTTCTTTACTCCCCACTTTCTTCCTGTCGCTCTTCTTTGCTCCCCACTTTCTTTCTATCGCTCTTCTTTGCTCCCCACTTTCTTGCTCTCGCTCTTCTTTGCTCCCCACTTTCTCCCTTTCAATCTCTTAGCCCTCATGTTCTTCTCCCCCTTTGTTCCTTTCAACTATCGTCCTCTATTACTGTCATTTTCTTCTTTTTACCTATCTTTGTCCCTGCTTACAATTCTCTTCCTCCCACCACGTTTTTGTTCCTCTCCCTCAGTTTCCTACTCTCTTCCTTCCATCCCATTGTTACTATTCTACTCTTCCCGTTACTCCAATCATGCTCTCTCCCTTTATTTTCCATTATAGCGTCTATCTTCTACAAATTCCATGGAACCACATTGTTTGTTCATTAGGCAATAACCATCCAACCTGTTTCCTTTCAAGTCGTCCTATAATTCACTTCTGCTTACTGCTGTTGTTTTTTTTTGCCACATTACAAATTTGTTTTCCATGGTCATTCTTATCTGCTTCCTTCCCAGTGGAGAGGAAGGATTACATTAAGAATAGAAGAAAAAAAAATCTTTTATTCTTGATTCTAAAATTAATCATGTGAAAAACGCCTTTTTTTTTTTTCTTTTTTTAACTTCAGGTCTGTAATAACTTTTTTCTGAATAAACAAAATTGAATTCTACTTTGCCAACTTTTAACTCTACTTATCATACTATATTTGTTCCATGAACCAAGGTATAATTCAAACTATATATATATATATATATATATATATATTGATTATTTAAGCCAAATTTCTCATTTAAAATGGAGTACCAAGGGAAATAACTCTTATACACTTGCTTAACAACAAAACTGTCCAATGTGATTTGCCTAATTGACATAGGTATTTAAATAATTAGTGTAGAATATATATATATATATATAGTACATGCTATTTTTTAGTGGGAACTATTTTTTATATAATTAATAATTAAAAATTTTGTTTTATAAAACTCCTTTTTTCGGTATTCTTTTAGTTTCATTTTAACACTTCATCTTTCTTATAACCCTGATTCGGGGTCTTAAGGTTAATATCTGGGTTGAATTTGGGGAGCTTCTTTCCTTTTCAGACAGATAACTTCCGCCATACCCTTACCACTACTCAGGCAGTCAGTCCTGTCGAGGCTTCAATATGGGTAGACTCTGTATGAATTTTTCAACTGCTGTCTTTGTTAAATTTTAAATCTCTAGTTCTGATACAGTCTCTCCATCTGGGTTGAATAAGACTGAAATACTCTACGTCAGTTGAAATAGTATATACCCATGAAGTAATTTTGGATTTCTCTGTTGTGTAATTTAATATATATATATATATAATTCTGTTTACTATTGAACACATGCAGCAGCTGGATTGCTAAGGCCTGTACAATGTGGTGAGTGCTAGTCACTCTTTTTACCTCTTTAGTATTTTCTAATGGTGACTGATCAATCATAGGTATTGGTGGGGTCCACATTTTAATATATTCATTTTTCCTTTTTCTCAAACCCAAAAAAAAAAGTGAATTGATAATACATGAAGCGTTTAAAATTGTACAAATTTTGGGGTCAATATTTTTTTTCTATCAAAATCTAGAAGAAACGTATCTCATTGATAAGAAGATAACAAATTATTAACTACAGTCTTTGATGACATATAGAAGCTCACTTTGTTCTCCAAATGTTAGAATTTCATAAAATTGTGATAAATATAGTATGGCTTTAAAAATAGACATTTTTAAAAGTATATATTAATATATACAAGCACATTAAAAGAAAAGGGAGAGTAAGGATAAGCAGAAATATAAAAAAATGAAACCACAAAAAAGAGCTATAAGCTGGTTATTGATCCTCACTCTTCAGAGCTCAGTTGAGGACAAAAAAGAATGTAAATATGTGCACAATGACCAAGAAAAGAAAAAAAGCAAAAAATTTTTTAAAATAACTCCTTGAGAACTAGCAGTATAACTCAGGTAGATTATATTGAGACCAAACAGCCACTCCTGAGGTAAATCTGTTGGGTATAAATGTAACCTTTGTGATTTATACTCTGGTAGTAATTTTTTTTTTTTTGTCTTTCCACTTACTTTTTAGTCATATGTTTTGTCCTCAATTGAGCTCTGAAAAGTGAGGTGCAATAGCTTTTTCTATTTTCTCATTTCACTGCAGTTAGTAATACATTTTTTCATTTCCTTTTATTTTAAATTTTAAAAAAAAACTTAATTTCCTTACTCCTCCTTCTCCTTTATTTTAAAACATTTGTATATATTGATATATACTTTAAAAATGACCAATTTTGAAGGCATATTAACATTTTCCAACCCCCCACACACACACATACACATGAATTATTTAATAATAATATTAAATATCCAAGCAATTTGTTTTGAATGAGGCCAAATTTTCATGTTAATGTTTAATTATAATTTTGTTTTCTTGATATTCCAGGTTGAAAAAAAGGGGTATATTTTATGCACTGTCAAATATGGTTTTATTAATTGTATTCCTTTTTTAGAGAGAGATTATTTACATTATTTGGACTGTTATCCTCATCCTCATTGCCATATTCACAATGTTTTGGCTGTTGTACACTCCAGCCTTCTTCAGGTGATTGGAATTTCGAACCAAAACCTTTATTTTGTCAACTGGTGTAGATTGTTCTTGTTCCGCATGCCATGCCTCTTCGGGATGTCTCAGTTATTTCCCTTTAACTCAACTCTCCAAGTCATTTGGTTTACCACTGCTGTGGCCTGGTAGTGAACTCACAACTGAGACATCCGGAAGAGGCATGGCATTGGAACTAGAACAATCTACCCTGGCGGTGAAAATAAAGCGTTCAGTTCGAAATTCCAATCACCTGAAGACTACAACCATAAACATAAACAGAATACTACTTAACTCTCATAAAAATTATTACTTTTGCATACATACTTCATAGATGAAATATAACTACTATTATTGGACAGTATCTCTGATATTTGCAAAGATTTTTATTATAGTATTATCAACCTAGTAAAGCAGTGTATAAGATGAAAACCTAAACTGAGCCCATTGTACCCAAAATAGCATGAAAGCTTATCTAATATTCTTTTGTGACTTTCTTTCATGTGTTTTACACAGCAGGAAGAAAGAAAATGAAGTGTGATTTTCTTTTTTCTTCCAGGTTTTATTAATAGATTGAAAAATAATATGCAATGAGTAATTGGTGTATTAAAACGGACAAAGTTAATTATATATAAATGATAAAATATAGTTTTAAGGTATGCTACATTTATGGGCCAAAGTACTCAATATTCAGGGATAGAGTGTGAGTAAATATAAAAGTGGGCATTGAAGTCAACACCCAGAGGTGATAGACTTTCATTCTAAACGCAATCATCAGGCCAAAATGTAGATGGTCTGACAATTGCATTTAGGATGAAACAGGCTCTCACCTCTGGGTGTTGACTTCAATGTCCACATATATATATATATATATATATATATATATATAGAGAGAGAGAGGGAGATATATATATATATATATATATATATATACTGCATGCCAAATTATTATCGAGATAACTTTTTTTCTAATATTTCAAAAACCGTCCAATCAATTCACACAAAATTTCCACGCAATGTTGGCAACACTGACCTGCGCAATCACTTCCGTACTGATCTGCGCAATGTAAACAAATTGGTGCCATATTTGCTTGTACTGCATGTCCTTTTTTTCACGGCAGCTGCAAAATATATAAATGAGGTCTGGGTGAAAAGTATCAGGACTGATGCTATGCTATAAAAAAGAAAACTAACAACACATATCAATTTTCTTTGAAGTAGTCACCTTTCTAAAGCCACACACTTTATCCAGTATCGTTTTCCATTGATGGAAGCATTTCTGGAATTCCATTTTTGGGATAGTGAGTTGCATTCTCTATGATTTTCTTGACATCTTGAAATCTTGTTCTTTTCAAGTGAGATTTGATTTTTGAAGAGGAAAAAGTCACAATGTGTGAGATCTAGGAAATATGGTGGTTGTCAAACCTGAGTAATGTTGTACTTGGCCCAAAATTACTGCACAAGCCAAGGTCACTAATGAAACCTCTGTGGTGTGATGAGATGACCACACTCTACACACTTTCCTTCCAAGCATTCCTACAAATAATGGAAAGGCGTGAGAATGTTATAATGGAGTGTGCATATTCTTCAGAGTTCAAGGTCAATTTGTGCTTAGCAGCATTACTCTGCATATGTTAGCTCCATTACGATAGCCACACATCTGATAGATTTTTATCAGACCTTGTGTGTGTGTGTGTGTTTGCATATATATATATATATATATATATATATGAAGAAATATACTCAGTGTGCTATATTTATGGGATAAAGTGCTCAATATCAGAGATAGAGCATATATAAATGTAAAAGTGAACATTGAAGTCAACACTTAGCGGCGACAGGCTCTTTCATGCTAGATGCAATTGTCAGGCCACTTGAAAGGCTGTTTCATGCTAGGTGCAGAGCATTTACTTAAATATTTGTATCTATAAAAAGAATGTATAAACATAAAAATGTCTTCAAAAAATATATAAATGGTAATACTCGTTTGGAAAACCTCTGATTGCTCAACTTGCAGTAGAACAAAGTGGTACCTGAGGAAACAAAACCTATTGTCAAGTGCTTCAGTTCTAAGTCTAAAGAAAAAAAAAAACCCAAACAAGTAGAAAGACTAAAACATAGAGTGCTCAATATGCTAAATAGACCGATAAACTAGAATAATCCTAAGGAGCCAGGCAAACCTACCTAGGTTTTACCTAAACGGATCTTCAGGGTAAATCCAGTTTTACCCTGATGATTCATTTAGGTGAAACCTAGGTAGGTTTGCCTAGATCCTTAGGATTATTCTGGTATGTATGTATGTATATATGTATGTATGTATGTATATATGTATGTATGTATGTATGTGTATATATATATATATATATATATATATATATATATATATATATATATATCTCAAGTCTAGAAGAATCTTCAACAGAATGCAGAAAGCACTGGACAGCTGTTTTGTACTATTTGAGACTTATCAGTAGTGTGCATCCACTACTGAGATAATCAAACCTGTAGCATTACAATACAATGCAAGCTCTTGGGACACAATTCGTTAGGTTTTGTATACTTGGATGAGTATCAACATGGAATTTAGTGAGTAGCGACATTATATTGAGTCTATTCAATTTCTTCATCACTGAGGCCCATTGGTCCATTGGTATGACACTTATGTTCAATTTTCAGTAGTAGATGTGCACGGCTGATTAGTACCAAATAGGAGAAAATGGCTGCATTCTGTTGAGGATTCTTCTAGACTCAATGATTTTTCAAATTTCTATCTCACACACAC